GATTCCACGACCCTGGGATCATGACCTGTACCGAAATCAAGAGTTGACACGCTCAACCAACTGAGCTACCGAGGTGCCTCCAGATAAATCCTTTAGATAAAAAAAGTTATATCTGGTAACTGGGCCAGGCCTCCTATTTCAGTTCTCTAAGTCAGTTAAGAGAGAGGTAAAAAAAAAAAAATGTTTTTTGAGTATGCTGGCTCTTGACTACCCGCAGTTCAAAACAATCCACGTGCCACAGTGGCCCATTTTGAGGTGGCACATTCCATTCCCCTTCGGGGTCAAAGGAGAGGCTTGAGACTTTCACAAACCAGAGCTATACAGACAATAAGGAGACAAAAATGAGATTACTATGGATGGCTAAAAATTAGAGAAAAAGAACACTTCTCAGATAACAAAGTACTTTCCTCACACGGAGAGTCAAGAGGCGGGAAGAATACCAATTACTTAGAAGCAGGCTCTGGTAAACAACAAGTGTTCAGGTAAGAAGACAGCGTTTCCCCCTGGAAGTAGGCTGAGGTTTCTGGATAAATGGGTGTTGCCACCAAAGTAGATAGGCTCGGTTAATCTCAAGTATACTTCAGTCGCTTAACTTCACAATTGTTGTCCCTCAGTTTCTTAGTAAAATTCCTTTAGTTGATTTCAGTGTTTCAAACAGGAGTTTCAAATTTGGAACTTGGAGTAGGGGGCTGGCTAAAGAAATGGTGTAGGGGAGAAGGAGTAATTTTAAGATAGAAAGAGAGAATAGCTATGGAAATCAGAACAACTCTCAGTAACGGGGTCTAATTTGAGCAGAGGAGAGATCATAGAAGAAGGGTAGTTAATGGGACCCTTAACCTTCAGGCACCTTCAGGGGCCAGTGGAGTCTAAAATAATAGTTGGCTGTGGTCACATTTTCCCCTAGCCTCTCCTCTCTGCTCTGGAATTAACAGTCTGTTAAGAAATAACTAGTCAATATTAAACCCGATTGATACAGGGGCGCCTGGGTGGCGCAGTCGGTTAAGCGTCCGACTTCAGCCAGGTCACGATCTCGCGGTTCGTGAATTCGAGCCCCGCGTCAGGCCCTGGGCTGATGGCTCAGAGCCTGGAGCCTGTTTCCAATTCTGTGTCTCCCTCTCTCTCTGCCCCTCCCCCGTTCATGCTCTGTCTCTCTCTGTCCCAAAAATAAATTAAAAAAACATTGAAAAAAAAAATTAAAAAAAAAAAAACCCGATTGATACAGAAAGGATACAGGTGACAGGAAGGAGAAGCTAAAAAGAATTCCAAATTGGGAAAGAAAGTAATGGCAGAGGAAGCTACTCATCAAGAAGCTCATAGCTTCTACAACCCAGCA